TTTGTTGAAAATCCGTGTTGCGAAACCTTGTGTTTTGGTAGGTTTTTTGGACGCGCGATTTTGAAATCCTCCCGAAACCGATGGGTTTTGAAGGATTTCGGCGTACGCGCACGACGACGCGCGCGTCTGCACTTCGTCTTGTTTTTTGCAGAAGATTCTCGCGACGGCACACGCGCAAGGGCGTTCGACAGATTTCGACATGCGCGCGCGACGCCCGTTTGGTAGCAGGTTGTGAAAATATTGAAAACCAATGGTTTTCTTAAGGTTTCGCAAGAGCTCGCGCGTAAGTTTTTTTAGCAAATCAGTGTTACGAAACCATGTGTTTTTGTATGTTTTCTGGAAACTCGATTGCGAAATCCTTCCGGCACCGAAGGTTTTTGAAGGATTTCGGCGCGCGTGTGCACTTCGTCCCATTTGTTGCAAGGCATTCGTGAAAAAGTGTTTTGTTAGAACAAAAAATGTCACCGCATAGGGTTTTTTACCAGGGAACCTCAGGGGGGGATACCGGTTGGCCTGGGATTTTGTGACTTCATATTTAGGATGGACATGTGGTCAGAATCATATGCGATTTACATACCCGAAGGTGAAGCGATAACGCCGGGGGGGGGTAGAGTCTATTCTCTTTTTAGTGATTTCTGTTCGCAATGAGTTGTCCACTCCACTGCTCGCGCAAACATCCCACCCACCCACCCGCAACTTGGTTTGCAAAATCTCTTAAGACGGTGACGGTGGGTACCAAATGGCACTTGACAACGACAGCGACGCCGACGACGACAGCGACACCGACGACGACGACGCCGCCGACGACGACGACGACACCGACGACGTCTCCAACGACTTCGACGACACCGACAACGACGACGACACCGACGACGACGACGACACCGACGACGACGACGACGCCGACGACGACGACGACGACGACGATGACAACGACGACGACGATGCCGACGCCGACGACGACGACAACGACGACACCGACGACGACGACGACGTCAACGACGCCGACGCCGACGACGACGACACCGACGAAGACGACGACGCCGACGCCGACGACGACGACGACGATGACAACGACGACGACGATGACGTCGTACGACGCCGACGACGATGACAACGACGATACCGACGACGACGACGACGTCAACGACGCCGACGACGACGACGACGACGACGACGACGGCGGCGGCGACGACGACGCCGACGTCGACGACGACGACGAAGACGACGACGCCGACGCCGACGACGACGACGAAGACGACGACGTCACCAACGAAGACGACGACGAGGGAGGAGGGAGGACGACGACGGCGACAACGACGACAACGACGACAACGACGACAAAGAGGGGGAGGGAGGACGGCGACGACGCGAACGACGAAAAGGAGGAAGGACGGCGACGCCGACGACGACAACGACGAGGAGGAGGGAAGACGACGACGAGACGACGACGACACGACGACGACGACGGCGACGAAATAGGAGGGACGACGACGAGACGCGACGACGACGACGACGACGACGAGGGAGGAGGAGGAAGGACGACCACGGCGACAACGACGACGGAAACGACCACGACGCCAAAGAGGACGACGACGACGAACACGAGGAAAGACACAGGACGACGTAGGCGACGACGACGACGACGCGGGAGGAGGGAGGACGGCGACGACGACGACGACGACGACGACGACGACGCCGCAAGAGCGCGCGCGCGCACGCTTTTGATGAAAATCCGTGTTGCGAAACCTTTTGTTTTTGTAGGTTTTTTGGACGAACGATTTTGAAATCCTTCCGAAACCGATGGGTTTTGAAGGATTTCGGCGTACGCGCGCGACGACGCGCGCGTCTGCACTTCGTCCCATTTTTTGCAGAAGATTGTCGCGACGGCACACGCGCAAGGGCGTTCGACAGATTTCGACATGCGCGCGCGACGCCCGTGTGGTAGCAGGTTGTGAAAATCTTGAAAAACCAATGGCTTTCTGAAGATTTCGCAAGTGCTCGCGCGTAAGCTTTTTTAGCAAACCAGTGTTACGAAACCCAATGCTTTTATATGTGTTTTGGAATCTCGATTGCGAAATCCTTCCCGCACCTAAAATGTTTGAAGGATTCCGGCATGCGCGCGCGACGACGCGCGCATGCGCACGTCGTCCCGTTTGTTGCAAAGGATTCGTGAAAAAAGTTGCATGATAGAACCAAAAAATGTCACCGCATAGTGTCTTTTCCCAACCATCCTGTGGTGTTGGGTCCTCGTTTTGAAGAGACGGTGCCCCGCGTTCCTTCCTTCCTTTCTTCCTTCCTTCCCTCCTCCCCCTCCTCCCTCCTCCCCCTCCTTGCCTCTGCACTCGGTACACCTCTCACACGTTTCGTAGCCCCTTAGGGAGCTCCACCGAAGGTCCCACTGAGGGGGGGCGCATGCGGTTCCCACACCCAGGGCAGCGCTTCGTGGCCCCATAGGGAGCTCCACCGAAGGTCCCTGTGAGGGGGGGCGCATGCGGTTCCCACACCCAGGGCAGCGTTTCGTGGCCCCATAGGGAACTCCACCGAAGGTCCCAGTGAGGGGGGGCGCATGCGGTTCCCACACCCAGGGCAGCGCTTCGTGGCCCCATAGGGAACTGCACCGAAGGTCCCAGTGGGGGTGGGCGCATGCGGTTCCCCCACCCAGGGCAGCGGTTCTTGGCCCCACAGGGAGCTCAACCGAAGGTCCCAGTGGGGGTGGGCGCATGCGGTTCCCCCACCCAGGGCAGCGCTTCGTGGCCCCATAGGGAGCTCCACCGAAGGCCCCAGTGGGGGTGGGCGCATGCGGTTCCCCCACCCAGGGCAGCGCTTCGTGGCCCGATAGGGAGCTCCACCGAAGGCCCCAGTGGGGGTGTTCGCATGCGTCTCCCCTGCCCAGGACAGCGCTTCGTGGCCCCATTGGGGGGCTCCACCGAAGGCCTCAATCGGGGTGTTCGCATGCGTCTCTCCCGCCCAGGACAGCGCTTCGTGGCCCCATAGGGAGCTCCACCGAAGGCCCCAGTGGCGGTGTCCGCATGCGTCTCCCCCACCCATGACAGCGCTTCGTGGCCCCATAAGGAGCTCCAGCGAAGGTTCCAATGGCGCTGTTCGCATGCGCCCCCCTCGCCCAAGGCAGCGCTTCGTGGCCCCATAGGGAGCTACACCGAAGGCCCCAGTGGCGGTGTCCGCATGCGTCCGCGCCACCAATTTCGGCGCACCCCTCACAAGTTTCGTGGCCCCATAGGAGCTCCACCAAAACCGGTGCCGCGGCACTCGCAACTGCACATGGTCGGGTCCTTCGTCAGGCTATTGCACAATGGAACCTCAGAAGGGGAACCCGGCTGGCCCGGGACATTGCGATTTCATATTTAGGATGTACATGTGGTCAGAATCATATGCGATTTACAAACCCGAAAAGAGTAGCGATAACTCCGGGGGGGGAGAGTCTATTCTCTTCTTAGAAAGGAGAATAGAGGAGAAAAAAAAAATAAATTCCTGTGCGCAATGAATTGCCCAGTCCCTTGCCCGCGCAAACATGCCACCCACCCGCCCGCAACTTGGATTGCAAAACCTCTTAAGACCGTGACGGTGGGTACCAAACGGCACTTGGCAACGAAACCGACGCCAACGACGACAGCGACAACGGCGACGACGACGCCGCCGATGGCGACTACGACGACACCGACGACGTCTCTCACGATTTCGACGACGACGACGACAACGACGACAACGACGACGCCGACGACGACGACACCGACGACGACGACGACGACGACGACGCCGACGACGACGACGACGATGACAACGACGACGACGACGACGCCGACGACGACGACGACGAAATAGGAGGGACAACGACGAAATAAGAGGGACGACGAGGGAGGAAGGACGACCACGGCGACAACGACGACGGAAACAACGACGACGCCAAGACGACGACGACGAGAAATGACAGAGGACGACGACGGCGGCGGCGACGACGACGACGACGACGAGGGAGGAGGGAGGACGGCGACGACAACGACGACGCAAGAGAGCGCGCGCACGCTTTTGTTGACAAGCCGCGTTGCGACACCCGTTGTTTTTTGTATGTGTTTTGAACACTCGATTTTGAAAGTCTTCCGAAACCGACAACGATTTCGGCATGCGCGCGCGACGACGCGCGCGCGCACTTCGCCACATTCGTTGCAAAGGTCTCTCGCGACGGCACGCGCGCAAGGGCGTTCGAAAGATTTCGACATGCGCGCGCGGTGCCCGTTTGGTAATATGTTCTTGGAAACCTTGGAAAACCAACAGTGCCCTTCAAATGTCGCAAGGGCGCGCGCGTAAATGTGTTCCCTGCCTTTTTGTGTCTTGGGGAAAACGGTTTTGAAGGGTTCGGCGTGCGCGCGCGACGACGCTCGCGTGCGCACTTCGCCCCATCGCCCTCACTGCCGATGCTCGTCACCGTGGGTCGATGATGAAGGCGGGCATATCGACGATACCCGGACGCGCGCGATGACAAGATGACGTCGGCAACGTCTGCAACAATGACGAAGAAAGCACAAGCGACGACGATGTTCAAGAGGGCGACGGCACGAACGATAACGGCGCCAATGATGGCAAACACGCTGACAATGCTGATGTCCATCTGTCGATGAGGCAGGTGATCGCGGGGACGCTGGCAAGGTTGAAAAAGAAATCCGCGCGCGAGGAAGTTCAACAAATCCGCCAAACTGATCATGCGCACGCGGCGGTGCGCGCATGTGGCCCGCGTGGCTTGTTTTGCGCAGGATTCGCGCCCTCGGCGCATGACAAGAGCATCGCGGGCGCACCGCGCGATGACATGAAATCGCTGGATGTGGCAGAATTCGGTTTCAGTTCGGTTTCGGACCCCCGCGATTAAAGGAATTCTGCGAATGCGGCGTGGTGCGATGGTGGCGGTGGCGCTGATGATTGGACGATGTTGTTTGCCGCAGTGACGCGGGTTCGCTGTTCAACTCCAGGCATGGGTGGCCCCATTCTCACGCCTCGGGCGAGTAGTTGAAGGGGTCAGGCTTTGACTTCTTGCTGTATGTGTAGAAAGGCACGACGCCGTCCTCTGGAAACTCATCGGATGCCAAACGGAAATACACGCGCGTGTCCGTGGTCGCGACGACGTGGGACCTCGCGAGCAGGGCCTTCATGTCCTCTTCCTCCGCGATCTGCTTCAGGGAGGGCGCGATGAGGGCCATGAACTGCTGGATCGTGATCACCATTAATTTCCCTTGGCGCCAGTCTGCCACCATCTGCCTCTCCAGAGCATTGTCGTAGCTGTTGTTCACGGCCTGGCGGGGCGCCGCCGGGGCGAACGCGCTGGACCCCCACCTCGCCCACAGCGTGGAATCCTCCTCGCTCGGGTTGAGGACAGCCTTTAACACGGACGCGCCCTGCTTGTGCAAGTCCCCGTCGTCGAACACCGCGGGCAGCACCCTCTCCACGGGCTCGCCCTTGAAGAAATCAAAGTGCTTGGCGGTGACAATTGAAGGCTCAGGCGCGCCCTCCCTGTCATCGCCCTCAAGGGCATCGATCTCGAGCATGGACATCAAGAACGCAAGTGTCTTCGACGCCGTCGACTTCCCCACCCTGGTCTTGCCGATCCAGAGCGCGCCGTTGCGGCGGAGAGTTGGCAGGATCTTCGCGAGCACCTCGTCGATGAACCGCGGCTCGAAGTCCTTCAGCGTGAGCACCCAGACAGAGAGGCGCTTGGAGTTGATGCGCCCGCTCGCGTGGTTCCGCAGCGCCTGGGCCACGCGGGACTCCTCCCAGCCGTAGATGTTCGACTGCGGGTCGTTGATCTCCTGGGGGCGGGGGAACAACGGCACTGCTGGGCTAGCCGCAATCGCTCGGCGGTCAAAAGGCCCGCGCGGCCGAAGATGGGGGTCGGGGGGGAGGGGGCAATGGGGCTAACCAGGTGGCGCCGTGTTCCTCGGCCCTGCTGTCCTTGTCCGCGAACTCCATGAACTGATTGCGGTTGTTGCTCTTCGGGCCCTTCCTTCTCGATGTAGCGGTACCCTTCCTGCTTCCCATCCCACTCGATCGCGCGCTGGGCAGGCTTTGCCGCGGCGGTCAGCGCGGAGAAGCGAATCTGTAGGCCGCCGAGTTTCTCCAGGAGGTGACAGATCGCATTGCGGCCTGCTCTGCACGGGTTCCCATACTGATACACGACGCCCGTACCATGACACATGGGCTCGCAGTTGGCCATCTTCAGGAACTGGCCCTTCAGGTCAACGCCCTTGAAATGTGCACGTTGCCATCGCCAGCGCCCAAGACGAAAATCTGCATGACGCACGGCCCACCAGGCTGGCTCTTGAGGTTGAACGGTGGGGGGAAGCCACTGAAATTGGACTTCGTGGCAAGGTCCTTGACAACGCCCAAACGGCACGGTTGCCCATGGGCGCCCTTCCAGTCAGAGAGGACACCGACCTTTTTCCCGTCACTGTCCGTGGTCTCCTCGTAAGCCTGGTTCATCAGCAGGTCCCCGAAGTAAGATCTTCGCGCCTGCGTGGACGTTCATGGGCGCAGCAGGAAGATCCGCGATCTGCGACAGCCCATCTTGCCCTACGTGGCCGCGCGGGAGACCAAGTTTCATGCCGTCGGCGCGCGCAAGGGCCTCGCCGAAATTGATGCTCTCGCCCCCAACGGCGTCCCCGAGAGTCTCGCGGAGGGCCTCGGGGAGGATCACGTTCCCCCTCGCCATGGCAGCCGCAAAAGAGAGGGGTCGGCACGAAAGGCGCGCGCAATCAAACAGCTTGAGCCGATCGGGCACTACGGAACTTCTCGGAGGGAGGGCGGCCAGAGACTTCATAATATGCTGCCCCATAAAAGCAACATGTCGGCGTCGGTTTCCTGTGGGATGGCAAGGGCATCCCCTCTTAAGGATGCCCCTGTATATGATAGGATCGACTATCTTATGTCTGCTTGGAACTGGGCTGGGCTGCTCCACATGTGGCTTTGGTTATGGTTATGGTTCTGGCTCTGGTTCAAGTTCTGGCTTTGATTTTGGCTATGGTTCTGGTTCTGGTTCTGGCTCTGGATCTGGTTCTGGTGCTGGGTCTGGTTCTCGCTCTGGTTCTGGCTCTGGTTCTGGCTCTGGTTCTGGCTCTGGCTCTGGCTCGGGTTCTGGTTATGGTTATGGTTATGGCTCTGGTTCTGGCTCTGGTTCTGGTTATGGTTCTGGCTCTGGTTCTGGTTCTGGTTATGGTTCTGGTTCTGGTTCTGGCTCTGGCTCTGGTTATGATTATGGTTCTGGTTATGGTGTTGACTCTGGTTCTGGCTCTGGTTCTGGTTCTCGCTCTGGCTCTGGTTCTGGTTCTGGTTCTGGTCCTGGCTCTGTTTCTGGTAATGGTTCTGGTTCTGGTTCTGGTTCTGGTTCTGGCTCTGGTTCTGGTTCTGGCTCTGGCTCTGGTTCTGGTCATGGTTATGGTTCTGGTTCTGGTTCTGGCTCTGGTTCTGGTTATGGTTCTGGTTCTGGCTCTGGTTCTGGTTAAGATTATGGTTCTGGTTCTGGCTCTGGTTCTGGCTCTGGCTCTGGTTCTGGCTCTGGCTCTGGCTCTGGTTCTGGTTCTGGCTCTGGTTCTGGTTCTGGTTATGGCTCTGATGTTGGATCTGGCTCTGGTTATTGGTCTGTTTCGAGTTCAGTTTCTGGTTCTGGGTCTGGTTCTGGCTCTGGCGCAGGCTCTGGTTCGGGCAGCAAATCACGCGCAGACGAACGGCAGCGGCTTCGGGCGCGGAGGTGGGAACCCATTATTTGGGTTCCCCGCTGTGTTTTGCTATCCGATCGGCGCTGCTGGCCTGGGAGCCTTCCCACGTCGGCCACATCGTCGAAGGGGCACATCGTCGAAGGGGCATCCATTTATGGATGCCCCCTTCTGCCGCATCAAGGCACGATGGAAATAGAAGCGAGCCGGAAGTTCTGCAGAGGCAGGCAAGAATCATGGTTGAAGTGCACCGTGCCTGCTCGAGCCGCCGCGTCGTCGTCGCCATCGTCGCCGCCGCCGCCGGAAGTTCTGCAGAGGCAGGCAAGAATCATGGTTGAAGTGCACCGTGCCTGCTCGAGCGCGCTGCGCCCTCGTCGCCGCCGCCTTCGTCGTCGTCGCCATCGTCGCCGCCGCCGTCTTCCTCCCCCCCCCCCACCCGCCCCTCCCCCTGCTGATCAGAATCCCTTTTTGGACAAAAACAACAACCAACACAACAACAACACAACACAACAACAACAACAACAACAACCAAAACAAGAAGAAGAAAGAAAGAAAGAAAGAGGAGAGATAGAGAAGATAGAGAAGAGAGAGAGCGAGAGATAGAGAGAGAAGAGAAAAGGAGAAGGAAAAAAAAAAAAAAAAAAAAAAAAAAAAAAAAAAAAAAAAAAAAAAAAAAAAAAAAAAAAAAAAAAAAAAAAAAAAACACGAAAGACCCGACCATATGCAGTCGTGGGTATCGCATTCGGGGAAGCCCCCCCATATGGGGCCACGAAACGCTTCACTTCGGGAAGCCCACATATGGGGCCACGAAAACGCTTTCACTGGGTGTGGAGGGGGGGGGGGGGGTGAAGGGATGTGGGGGGGGGGGGGGGGAGGGAAGGGGGGGGCCGGGGGGGGGGGGGAAAGGGGTGGGGGGGGCGCATGCGAAACCTGCGCCACTGGCACCTTCGGTGGGGCTCTCTACGGGGCCACGAAACGCTGTACTGGGTGTGGGGAGGACGCATGCGAACTGCGCCACTGGGACCTTCGGTGGAGCTCCCTATGGGGCCACGAAGCGCAGTACTGGACGCATGCGAACTGCGCCACTGGGACCTTCGGGGGAGCTACCTATGGGGCCACGAAACGCTGCCCTGGGTGGGGGAGGGGAGGGGGTGCGCTTGCGAACTGCGCGACTGGGGCCTTAGGTGGAGCTCCCTATGGGGCCACGAAACGTTGCCCTGGGTGGGGGAACCGCCTGCGGGCTGTGCCACTGGGACCTTCGGTGGAGCTCCCTATGGGGCAACGAAACGCTGTCCTGGGTGGGGGAACCGCATGCGGGCTGTGCCACTGGGACCTTCGGTGGAGGCTGATGTGGCCGCCAAGGCAGAAAACGCTGCCCTGGGTTTGGGGGGAATCCGCATGCGGGCGTGCACTGGGGCCTCGGTGGAGCTGCCCTTATGGGGGCTAAGAAGCGATGCCCTGGCGGGGAAGAAACCGCAGGGGCTGTGACCCTGGGAACTTCGGTGGAGCTCCCTATGGGGGCCACGAAACCGCTTGCCCTGGCTGCGGGCTAGTTGACACTGGGACCTTTCGATGGGGCTCCTTGGGGCTACGAAAACAGCTGCCCTGGGTGGGGGAAAAACCGCATGCGGGCTGTGCACTGTACCTTCGGTGGAGACCATTATTGGGGGCCACGAAAGCTGCCCTGGGTGGGGAACCGCATGCGGCGGGGCCATCTGGGAACCTTTCGGGGCTTCGGTGGAGCTCCCTATGGGGCTACGAAGCGCTGCCCTGGGCGGGGGAACCGCATGCGGGCTGTGCCACTGGGACCTTCGGTGGAGCTCCCTATGGGGCTACGAAACGCTGCCCTGGGTGGGGGAACCGCGTGCGGGCTGTGCCACTGGGACCTTCGGTGGAGCTCCCTATGGGGCTACGACGCGCTTTTTGGGTGGGGGAACCGCATGCGGACTGTGCCACTGGGACCTTCGGTGGAGCTCTCTATGGGGCTACGAAACGCTGCCCTGGGTGGAGGAACCGCATGCGGGCTGTGCCACTGGGACCTTCGGTGGAGCTCCCCATGGGGCTACGAAGCGCGCGAGGGGTGCGCCGAGAGCAGAGGCAAGGGGGGAGGGGAAGGGAGGAGGGCGAGGAGGGGGGGGAGGAGGAGAGGAGGTGGGACGCGGGGCGCTGTCTCTTCAAAACGAGGACCCAACGCCACAGGACGGTTGGGAAAAAGCAATGTTTCGGGCGGATTCGCCTTGCAGTCTGTACTCTCCCAAAACATTGTTTTTATCGATTGTTTTGTTTTTATTGTTTTTTTGTCTTCCCAATGGTCTGTTGTTTTCTGGGGAAGCCGAGGGAACAGAGGAAGGAGGGGGGGGAGGAGGAGGATGAAGAGGGAGGCGGAAGGAGGGGAAGGAGAGACGGAAAGTGAAGGAGGAAGGGGGAGGAGGAAGAGGGAGAAGGTGAGAGCGAGGCTTTCTGGATAAAATATGTAAATCGCGGGGGTCCGAAACCGAACTGGAACCGCATTCATAAGAATCCGATGGTTCTTGCATGATTATAGCATGAGCGCGCGGACAGAAAATGTGCATACATTGCGTTGCTAAACCTTTGGGCGCCGTTTTGGCGTATATGCTGAAATGCTTGCAAACACACTGCGTTTCGTGCGACGTTGGCATGGACGCGCGCGTGTGGACGTCGTCTCATTTTCTGCAAAAGAATATTGGAAACTTATTTTTTTTTGAGAAACGAGTGCGCGCGCATAGTATGATTCTGCAGAAGATGGCGGGGGGAATGATACCGGCTTGGCTGGGATAATATGAATTCACAGGTATGACGGACGATGGGGCAGAATCACATGTAACTGCAATTTGGAGAGGGAGGGAAAAAGAGAGGGGAGAGAGAGAGAGAGAGAGAGAGAGAAAGAGAGAGAGAGATGAGAGAGAGAGAGAAGAGAGAGAGAGAGAAGAGAATTGAGATGGGAGACGAGAGAGAGAGAGACGAGCCCAGCCTAACCTCGGGGGGGTAGGGTCTATTCTCTTGAGCAACGGAATTTACGCACTCGGTGCTGCCGTGCAAATATTTCTAGTATATATAGATCTATATATATATAGTAGATAGTATATGATAGTTATATTATATATATAATTATATATTATATATTATAATAATATAGATATAGATTGTGCGATCTACGTCGGCAATATATGTGGTTGTGCTATCTACGTGATGCAATATATGTGGCGCCATTCATGTTGCGAGCGACACAAAAGCACGCCGCAGGCGATGCATATTTGTTGCGCAGCAGATCTCACGAGGACGGACGGCGACGAGGCGGCGACGGGGCGG